GGAAATACTATGGTCCCGTTATGGAACCATTTCGTCGGGAATTTTAACCATTTGATCATCATGTAGTTAGTATAGGATAGATGATCCAATGGCTAAAACTCACGACGAAATAGTTCCGTAACGAGACCGTAGCATTCTCCGTTATTATTATTATTGTTTTATAGTTTAAAATTTATTTTTATTGAATCTATATTTATACTATAAAAAAATTATATCTATTGAATTTATATTTAAATATTGAAAATATTCCAGTAGCTTAATAATATATATATATATATATATTTATATTTAAATTTATATAAATTTATTGGGCACTGAAATGTAATCTATAATGGTGGTGGTAGTTTAAAGATATGGATAAATAATGATAAATAACATTTTTTTTTGTTGAAAAGTTTAATATGAAATCATTCAGTTTTTCAGTGATTGTCGAATGTTAGCAAAGTCTTCTTTTACATTTTTTTTAACTAATGATGTCTTTAACATTGTTTGGAATCATGATTATCGTTGTCGCGGTCATTTGTAGTTATTAGTTTTTAATTGGTAATCAACGTCGTGTTGAAATTTTTATATTACTCTTATAATTTGATTATATCGTTGTCTCATTGCTTGGAAGCTCAGTCTCAATATTATCGACAAAATTTTATCACCGTTGTCTTATTGTTTGCAAGCTCAATCTTTCTTAATACTTCGATACATTTTTTCATGGATGGATCCACGTTGGGTCCCTTCTGTTATCATCCGACTCGGCAAGACGCTGTTAAGAGGTTTTAAGCATCCTATTAAACGCGATTAACAGTTAAACCGACATGAGTCATAATCACACCGATCAACACCAAAGAACCGGTCTGAACCACCGAAGACCGAAGTGATCGACGATTACCGAGGTTAACACCCACCGAGGTCAACACCCACCGAGGACAACATGAACCGAGGTCGTCACCTCCTTAAGCAGGTGACAAGGCATCTACGAGAAGCTCTCCTACTCCACAAGATCTGTCATCATTTACGTGGGGCCCCCTGCCTCGAACCGCCCATAAAAAGCCACTTTATTCAAAAAGTAGTACACGGATCCCAATGTCTCAACCCAAAACTACAATAAATAGCGGACCTGTGACAATTGTACGGCTCTCTCGATTTGATATACATGACCGAACTGTAAACCCTTTATTACGTAACACGTAAAAGCCCATCACGGCTCTTCACCTCGGTTCACCTCGGATCGGGGCCATTATTGGTTCAATCTTACATGCTTTACGTTCACATCATTCCAAATTACTCCCTTAATCATATATCACATCGTTGTTAAGAATTACATAACGACACCTTCTCAATTTTTAAAAATTGTCTTGAAGTATATTTGTATCTCTGTAGGTTGGATCAAATGAGTCTACTCTATAAAATTACTACATGAGACTCAATATTAGTAATTTGTTTTGTGGAGATTAATGACCATATTAATTTATTAGAATATACATTACTTAAATAATAAATCAAATCATTGACTATCTTTGACCAACGTTGACCGTCGACAACATGCAATCTCGATCTTGTTCATCACCAGCATGTTTAGTAGAGATTTGGTGGGCAAGGGATAACCGAGTTACACGACTCGGGTCGATCTCGAGGGAAGGATATCCGGAGCTTTATCTACTAAATTATCGTCCAAATCACAAAAAGAGAAAATAAAATCCTAAACATTCTAAGCAATTGATTGGATTGTTGATTAACACTAAACGAGCACTTAAAAACGAGCAATTAACTAAAAGCAAGATCAAATCACGAGCAATTAGCAAACTAGATCACCGGAGTCTCATGCCATAACCATATCGGGATGATAATCAATCGACATACGGAATAAACGAGCTATGAGCATTAGATTGCTAACCCTAGTCGTCTAACCGAGATCAACAAGCAATTAACTACTCTATCTACTCGAGCAAGCAATCAAGTACAAGCATTTCCACCATCATCAATCAAATCCAAATTTACCCTAATGAACATTATAAGTAAAAACGGAGCAAAAACCGAAGTAAAGAGTTTTAAAAACTAAATACTCATTCTTCCATTGCGTAGACGATGAAAAACGGAGTCAAAAGCTCGAAACTTGAACGAAACCGAAGTCGCCGAAAAATCTCCCGGAAAATAGCATAA